TGGCCCCAATCCAGACTCCCCCTGAGCCCCCTCCCGCCAGCGCAGCCCCTTCCCTGCCCCCCACCTCCAGCAGAGTCTCACTTCCTTATTTTCTCAACACTCCTGGGCCACGACTGCAGCCCAGCTACGCAAATCCCAAACCCTTTTGCCCCTTAGCACCCACCACCTCGCTCCTCCTGCCTTGTCCCCTCCTTCTTCCCAAGACCTGCCCCGGTGCAGGCCACAGTCACCGCTTACCCGGCCACTGCAGCATGACACCAAGCCTACGTAACTGCCTCCAGGCCTTCCCCTAACCCATTGGCCACTTTTTTAATTTTAATGTTTTTATTTATTTCTGTGAGAGACAGCTTGGGCAGGGGAGGGGCAGAGAGAGAGAGAGAGAATCCCGAGCGGGCTCTGTGTTGCTAGCACGGAGCCCGATGCGGGGCTTGAAGCCACAAACCGTGAGATCATGACCTGAGCAGAAAGCCAGAAAGAGCTGGATGCTTAACCAACTGAGCCACCCAGGTGACCCCGCTGGCCACTTTCTAAATCCGGAATCCTTTTCTGTTTAAAATCCTTCCATGGTTTCCTGCCGCCCCCGGGATCAAGTCCAAAGCCCTTTTGGGCTCTGGACCTCATCTTGGGCTTCAGAGCCTGCAGCCCTCTCTCTCTCCCTCTCTCTCTCCCTCCTCTCTCCCTCTCTCTCTCCTGCCATATGGAACAATACCATCCATTCCCTGCCCCGTTACTCCCTCTGCTGAAAGCACATACCCCATTTCCCTGCCTCAGTCCTCGTCAGCCGTACTCAATGAGCTGAGCCTTGATTTTGAGGAGGTGGCTTCCTGGGGCACACCCCCTGCCCCCGAGTGAGGTAGTCCAGCAGCCCGGGGGCCCCGTACCTGCGCACACATCCATCGCAGCATCTCCCCTGCTGAGGGCAAAGGCCGGGGCTTCAGCCAGTGCCTGGCATACAATAGGGTAAGGGGGCCCCGAGCAGCTGGTGAAGGCTGCGAGCCAGATGGGGCTCCAGACCAGGCTCGGCACGTAGGGCAGGAGGAAAGAGCTGGGAGGTGAGGCCTCCCGTCTGCACCGAGGGCCAGCAGGTCAGGGCCGGAATCTTCTCCCTGACTGGAGCCGGGACGCTGCACCCCAAAAGGTAGAGGTCTGCCCGACCTCTTGCCTCCCCACGGCATCGCATCCTCTGCTGGCTTCCCAGTTGTCACTTCTTGGTTCCTTCCCTCTCTCCTCTGTCCCACTTCCTAGCACCCAGCCCCACTTCCTTCCTCACTCTAGACCAGAGGTGAAAAATATTCTTCTCACCCAAGCAAGCTGCAGCTGGAGGCCCTGCTCCCAAGGTCTTCGCCCTGCGAGGCCTGCACCACCCGCCCCCCGGTGCCATTCCCTTCCCAACACACGGCCTGGGTTTCTCCTGGCCTGGCCTTTTGAGGCCTCGAAGGCCTGGCTCTAAGTCTGGGGTTTCCACGGGTCCCATCTCCGCAGCCCACGCCAACCCCGTCCACCCCACCTGCGCAGACGACACGTCTCACAACAGACGCCCATGGCAGCCAGGGCTCCCTTCAGCAAGGGTGCGTCTTTAATGCCATATTTTGGGGAGCGTAGGCAGCAGCCTCTTCAGAAGGCTAGTGTGGGGGTGGGAGAGGCTGGGGGCTGCCTGAAAACAGAGGGAGAATTCCCTGGGCCTCCCCAGAAGAACCTCTTAAAATCTCAGTATCAACATATGCATTGTCTCAGTCCTGCGGGTTCTGTGCCGATGTTCACCACCTGTTTGGAAGTGGAAATCTCTAGATGTGCCTCTTGCCAGGAGGGACCTGTCTGACCACCCCAGTGCCCAGCCCTGCCCACGCCCCGTCCGGCTCCAGTCAGCTGTCTGCATCCGAGGCTGGGGACTCGGCCGGTGCCGAGAGGGGAGGCATGGCC